GGTGAAAAAACTGTCTTTTTGCTATAGTGTTACAAGCAAGTTGCCACGATCGGGTGTTCATTACAAAATCATTTAGGCGCCCAGAGAGATGGTGTCTGTGTTCTTCCTAAGACAGAAGGAATTTAAAATGACCAGCAAGACTCACCACCCTGAAGTGGTTTAAAGAAAATGCACTATAATTGTTTTAGAAAGAATGATTTGGAAGGGGGGGTGTTGTTTGCACTGCCTCTCCTATTGCATCTATATCAGACAAGTCGATCTTATTAAAGATAATTGAAATGGGATTTTAAAGCATTTCTTTTAGGTGCTTCAAGAACCCTGAATAAATTGAAATGGAGCCAGTTCCCCCAGATAAATCCTTGCAGTAATTGTTTTTTAAACTTCATTGAAGGCATTTCTAAACTAGGTCAGAGTTTTGTGTGGGTTAACATCTTCTAATATTTTACTGTTCTTCAAGGACAGCACTGGTTACTAGGCTAAATGTAATGATGGACAAGCAAATAATACTGGATGGAAAGCTCTATTTAGTTGCCCCTACAATCTACCCATTGAACACTGCAGTCTTTATATTAAAAAGTTTAGGCAGTTACCTATAGGCATATATTCTCTGTTACAACCTGCTCTCTTGGGTTTTGCTTTATTTATATCTGCAATAAATACGTATGGGGAAGTGCAGTTAATTAGTTGGCTGATTTAGGTGAGTCAGTTTGGTTCTCTGGTGCCACTTTCCTCATCATTAAAACAAGACTATTGTTCTAGATGACTGAAAGTTCCTTCTAAGCTTTAAGAATACTTGGCATTAGTCAGTATTCTCCAGACTGAACCAACGGGAGAGAGGGAAAGAGAGGAGAGACTGACTTTAACAAATTGGTTCACATGATTATAGAGGTGAAAGTCCGAAATCTGCAGAGCAGGTTGGCCAGCTGGAGCCACAGGGAAGAGCCACAGTCTGAATCCAGTTCGGTGCAGGTCAGTCTTAAATATCAGGGCCTTCCACTGATTGCAGGAGGCCCAATTTATGGGAGGTGATCTTCGACACTCAAGGTCCCCCAGTTTAACTGCTAATCTATCCCAAAAAACTTCATCACAGAAACAACCAGAATAATGCTTGGCCAAATGTCTGGGCACCATGGCCCAGCCATGTTACACATAGAATAACCATCAGAACACCTTACATTTCAGAGATAATGACTTTAAAAAGCCTAGGGAAACACCATCATTTCTAACAACTGGGATGCTCTTTATCAGTGAGCATGGAGAGAAACGAGCTCCTGAACAGTGTTTTCAGTTGCCAAAAGGACACTGTACACATGTCAAAATACAGTGACTTCAAGAAAAAATACTGGACCTACTACTGAATCCACCTCATATCTACTAAAGATGGTTTAGTCTGAGTGTCAGAAAGCAGACTTGGAAAGAATTCAGAGGCAGATCTGTGGCTTTTCTTTACAGAATTGCATGGACCAACTCCCTTAGTAGAGAGTCCAACCCATCAGTTTCGTGTTGTGACATCACATTTGGAGAACAAGTAACTCCTAACAGTATTCCCATCATATTATAAGGAATTATTTATCTCAGCAATAAAGATGCATTAGCTAGTAATCATGTTATCACTTATTTAAAATCAGCAGTTTTGACATAAAAGAGTAATAGCAACGTTATATGAATACTACTAATGGAAAATATAAATTTCTTTCTTCTAAGATGTATATTATATATCCTAAAACCTTGGGAAGTGGAATGAATTATAAAGCAAGCAACCTTCCTAGCCTTCCCTCATTACCAAAAACACCTGAACGAGTGCAGTGCCCAACGAGAAAAGCCCCAGTTTGAGTACATTGCCCACCCTGGTCTGCACATTTCTGAGTCTTTGCTCCCCCATGAACCTGAGGACTTTAAAGCAAGAAAGAACTCATGTGATGGCCTAGCTCCAGAATTCCCAGCAGGATTAACTCTCCTGTGGTTAAAGTTAGAGACGAGCGACCTTCAGAAAGGCCTCGATAAGTGCAGATGAAGACCGGGCAGCTTGGTGTTGAGCTGACACCCCCTGTGTCACTTTGCAGGGCTGCTCTAGTTGGTGAACAGGCAGCAGCAGTTTAAGGAAGGAAAACATCTGGCAGCCTCCCCTCAATAGCCTACACCCCACTGCCCGCACCCCCAGACTGAGTGAAAGCAAGTCACCCCTATAAGTCCAAAGCTCTGGGACCACTGCAGGCGCCTCCCCGAGGTGCAGCTGCTCTCTGATCGCATCCTCTCTGGGGGGTGGGGGGCGGGTGCATGAGGAGGTACAGCCCACGTGCCCCAAACTATTATTCGCTAAGCCTCACCTCTCTGCAAACCAGATCTGATGGCAAATTGTCAAGTTCAGCAGCATGGCTTTTGCAATATAGACAGACATCAAACCATGTGGTCCACCTTGGACCATGTTATATGTCAAGTATATCTCAATAAACTCGAGCAAAAAGCCAACACTGACATCCCTGTTCCCACACATACTGTAAAACATTTACAAAAAGAAACATAGAACAAAAAGGATTGTCTGCCTGCGGTTTCAGGGGCAAAGAGGTTGTTTGGGTCATTATAGCCAATGCTCCAAGGGAAGGATTTAGGATTTAAAAGGCCTGAAAAGTTCTACAGATGGACAAGTGTATACAACAGCCGAGTGCAATTGTAAGCAAACCAAGGGGGAACAGGAAAAAAGCTGGTGCCAGCCCAGTCTTTTCATGAGGTGTGACCTGAAGGAGGGAGGCAGAGAAGGAATCGTTACCTGCAGGCCCACGGAAGGAGAGGGCAGTCCCCAGTGGCAGGCCAAGGGTCACAAGGCTCCCTCGGTGCAGCCCCCAAACCATAGCATGAGTGACGGAGATGGCGTTCTGGCCCCTCAGAGCCCAAGATTCTCCAACCCCCTAAAAAACACTAGGAAATACCTGTGCCATGCACAGGTGTCCCAGGTCCCCATCTGTGTCTGTTAACACAGAACATACAGTGAGACAGGAGGTTAAACATCTCTTGATTAATAAACTGAGGGCTCTCCCTTAACCACTTCTCAGGAACATTATGAAGGGGAATAAAGTTACGTATGTTTTTACACATGAAGTCACTTTGGCCGTTGAAATAAGCTTTGCGCGTGTGGGGTGCTGTGATAGACACCCAGGACACACGGCCTTCCGCCCGGACAGCTCGCAAGCTCACATCTCACCCCAGTGTGAAGGGTGCTGGGTGACACATACGGAGTTATCCTTCACCAAGAACCCTCCAAGTTATGTGCAAGAAATACCAAAACTATCCATAAACTGAATTTACTCCTTCAGTTACATTATCTGCAGTCTATCCTGTTGACTCTTCCTTGGAAAAAAAGAGTATTATGTAAAGACCAGATTAGGTAAATCCAGAGTTTCTAGGAGTTGGGAAGGGGAAGTAACCAGGAGCAACAGCTTAAGGGGTATGGGGTTTCCTTTTGCGGGGTCGAAAATGTTTGAAACTAGATGAAGATGATGGTTACACAATACTGTGAATGCGGAAAATGCCCCCAAATTGTTCACTTTTAAATGGTGAATATTTTAATGATTTAAAAATGTTAAAATGAGATTGAGGAATCTGAGAAGGAAGGGCCTATGTTCATTCAGAAAATCAAGCTCCTGGCCCATGTGAAAACACAGCATGTCCTTGTCTGTACTTCTCACCGAGAGGCTCTGCCCCACCGCACTTGGGCGCATGAAGCCGCCTTCCCACCCCGAGGACATGGCCCGGCCATCGGGCAGGCAACAGCGGCTGTTCCTCTGGGGCCTGGCAGCTGGCAGTTAACGTCTTCCTTCCTTTTGAAGCTCAGAAAACAATGGAGATACTGTCTCCCATTTACAGACTTGCCACAACGCCTATGAAAAGATCCATCTGAAGAATTTTTTGCCCAGCGTACTGATTGAAGCACGTCCAATCACTGTTGCTATTTCCTCAGACTGACCTATTAAATGCATTATATCTATAGGATTCATTAAACAAAACCTACTGGGAATTTATCTAATGTATCTTGGAAAACAGCTTCCAAGTAAGACACTTGTGGTAGAAAGGGATGTATTTAAAAACAAGCAAAAAACACCAAACTCAGAGAAATCAGACTTGTGGTTACTAGAGGCAGAGGGTTGGGGGGAGGGGGTCAAAAGGTACAAACTTCCAGTTACAATATAAATAGGTCTTCGGGATGGAAAGTACAGTGTGACGGCTACAGCTGACAGTGCTGCAGGATGCACAGAAAGCTGTTAAGAGAATGGATCCCAATAGGTCTCAGCACAAGGGTGATTTCCTGTCCTTTCTTTTTATTTGTCACTACATGAGATGGTGGAAGGTCGGTGAACCTACTGTGGTAGTCATTTCACAATGTATGCAAATCAAACCATCATGCTGGACCCCTAAAATTTACCCAGCAATGCATGTCCATTATTTCTCAATAAAACTAGGAAAAAAAAGGCATGTGTTTGAAAGGCATGTTTAGTATCTCCTGGTATCCTAGCAAGGGTTCTCCAGAGAAACGGAACCAATGGGAGAATTTTTTATAAGGAACTGGCTCCTGTGATTATGAAGGCTGAGAAGTCCTAAGATCTGCCACCGGCAAGATGGGGATGAGGAAAACCAATGGTATAGCTCCACAGGAAAGCTGTCTGGCTTCAGACCTAGGAAGGGCTGGTGTTTCATTTTTCTCTTCAAATCTGAAGGCAGGGAAAGACCAACATCCCAGCTGAGAGCAGCCAGGCACAGATCTTCAGCTAACTGAGTGACGCCTGCCTGCATTAGGGAGTGGATGGACTTCACTCAAAAGTTCAAAAGTTAACCGCATGCAGAAACACCCTCACAGACTCACAGACTGCACACCCTTTGGCATCAGTCGAGATAACACACAAAATTAACCATTACACCTGGTCACAGAACTTTGGAATGAACGTCACATGCCCATCCCTCCCAACACAGGGTTTTACAAAAATAAAAAAAAAATAGAAACTCAAATATTTGTTGAATGGAGAATGTAAATCTTTTTTTCTCCAAATTTGTTTATTTAAGAAATGAATCCAATAAAGATATTTAAGTAGTACCCAAGCCAAATGAACCACTTGAAAGAGACTATATCAACATTATGAGCTTTGGATGAAGGGTGTAACTGCTTACAAAAAAATGCAAACCAGAAAAGGCGAGGAGAGAGTTCCTCACGACAAAGTCTGCCTTCTTGATAACTGGATAACTTTCCAGACCTGTGAAAGTGTCCAGAGGTGGGCAGACAAACTGAATGAGGACTGACCCTAGAGAGCTAAAAGAATATAGACTAAGAATTTTGAATTTTAGTTGTCACGTGTTCATGTAACTACTATAATTGGAAGAAAATATTCTATGCCCACAGAGAACGCATGTGTTCAATCATGTTCTCATTCAAGGGGCAAAGGAGGCTTCAGGGATGGGCTCTGGAGCTGAAACAACTTGGCTGCGTGAAACAACCGTCCCACGTCTGATGATTCCAGGCAGTTTTAAATCTCGTCAGTTTTTTCAGCTGTCAAATAGAGAAGGTAGCACTTGCTGCCAGGGTGTCTGTGTGCAGAGCCTCAGGGGTTACTCAACACGGTATCGGCTCCACCGTCAGCTGTCCTTTAACTATGCAGGCATTTTTGAAATGTATCTCACCCACGGCCAAAGAGTTCTCTTCCAAGACTGAAGACGTCAGCACTTCAGATGCGCCACAGGCAGAGCGACCACACACACAGTGCCACGTAAGAGCGGATCCAGCTCCCAGTTAAGCTGTCCTGGGTCACAAATATATTGGAGGCAAGATGGCCACAAAAAGCTGAGGCAGATGCAGCCTGCCTCCAGGGCCCCCGGTGTCCCGACCCGGGTCACATGCCCACGCACTGCCTGCACGAGAAAGGCTTTTGCCAGACCAACAGCCCCGTTCCTGCTGTAGATGAAGGAAGAAAAGGTGAGCGAGAACGCACCGACCACCTGTGGGTCTGACTGGAAATAATGACACCTCCTCCAACCCGAGCTCAGGCCAGGCTCAGCAGCGGTCAGAGCGGGAGCAGAGTCCGTTCCCACTGGCCCCTGAACTGCTTCTCAGCCTCACCTGCCAGCCTCCTGACTCTGCAAAATGCCGCCGCATCCCCATAACACGTGTGGTCCAAGGATACAGGTGCACAGTCCCACTGTGACCATCTCCACCTAAACGAGGTGTTCCTTATAAGCTTAAGACCTTCCGCAGCAACTTCACAAGGCAAGCAAATTTCCCGTCCTCCGTGTGTCTACGTCAGACCCCCAGGCTGAGAACAAAGGGCGACACCCAGGCAGAGGGTTTGGCGCAGCCTGCTGCCCTCCGCTGACCCTGTCATCGCCTCCACGCCCCTGCACTGGGGTCTGAAGGGCCAGCAGAGGCAATTATTGGAGAGAGACAGGATTTTGTTGCTGTAAAAATTCAGATATTCCAGAAAAAAGAGACTCTCAAGCCTTGTGATTCATTTACTGTGACGCAAATCGAGAGAAAGCAGAGAGCAGGTGTCAGGAGGGAGGAAGATGAGGAATGAGGGACCCGGGCGCCTGGCAGGAAGGTGCAGGGCCCAGAAGCACCCGGAGGGTCCACATACCTAACAAGGTGATGATAGAAAAGGACAAGTCTGGAACCAGTGGCAAGGAGACCCCAAAGCAAGGACCCCATCTGCTAAAGAGCAGCTTTCCCATTTTTCTTTCCTCGTTTAGCCTGTGGAACAATCCCACCCTCTTGGACATGTCCCTCTGTGTGCAACGGGAGTTGATTGATGCCTAATGCATCAAAGCCCAAAATTCTGCTGTGGGCCTGTACCAGCTGGAGGAACTAGCTTCCTAGTACGTTTGACACTGATGCCACCTGCCCTCTCCCCTACCACACACATGCTTCTTAGTGAGGCATTAAGCTCAAGGATCTGAGTTTCTAGTGTGCCAGTCAGGTGGTGCCACATCAAACAGAACTCTCAGGTTTTAAGGGAGAGGAACTTTGGTTCAGCAGTCTCAGTGCCTTAGAGCTGTACACCTCCAACATTAGTGGGCATGAGAATCATTGAGGATCTTGCTAAAATTCACCTTCGAATCCAGGAGGTCAGCACAGCTAATGTGCTCCCAGGTAATTACTGTCACACTTTGGGGAGCTCAAGGATTTGCAGGGCAAACAAGCAAAGGTAAAGAGTGTCAGTGTGCAGCTGGAGGAAGAGCGATGTAAATACAGCTTCCCAGAAATGTAGAGTTAAAAGGGTCCTTCTCTGCTGTCAGCATGCAAGTGTTCCTGGGATCATTCAACAAGTCGCCAGCAGAGGAAGGAACCTCTAATAACCTAACTCTCAGGTCAATGTGTGTGCTCCAAAATGTACAGCTGCACATGGGAAACCAACCGACCTCTTCCAGAAAATCTCAACAACAATTCAACAGCAGAACTTGCATTCTTCACTTACCAGAAGAAGAGGCCAGTGCTTCCATTTCCTACTGTGTTGTGTTCCTTTCAAGATCTTTGGTGGAAAGTGGTAGTGATGAGGGTTCAGGGAAGAGGGGCTTCTTGTATCCTAGAAGCTGGATTAAAAGATGAGATTTGAAAAGATGTGATCTAATTCCACCCTCTGGCTTTATTATCGAGAAAACTTACCCCATTTCAATTTCCTCAGGGTCACCTTAGCTAGTTGCATGGAAAACGTGGAGCTAAAATCACTCTCTTAACTCCCAATTCATTGCTTTGACTTCTGCAGTAGAAAGTAATATTTTCCATTTCTAACTTTTACTTTCAGAGGAGTGTTTAACAATTATGAAACTTTACAGAAAACTGAGGAAAACAGGTTCTAATAGAGGGTTGGCATTTCAAATGGCTTACGAGCAAAAGGCTGGTATGATGACCTCTTTATAGGACCATCCAGCTGCACCCAGTAGGACAACAGTGTCTGTTTATGCCTAGGATCAAAGAGCCAGGGGCAGGAACGAGGTGTTTTGAAAAATATATTATCATTTGTGAGTCATTTGTGCTTATAATAAGTGTTCCAAGAAACTAAGTAAAGGTGTAGTTGTCAGGCAAAGCCAAGAGCCAAGGGAACTAGCTCAAGAAGGGGTTAATTGAAAAGCAAGGATTAGGTTTTCCAACACTAAGGAAAATTACTAAGGATGTTTCCTCCTGCATGGAAACAATTTGCTTGAATTTGTGTTACAGATAATAGAGAATTTCAGTAGGTTTGTTTGAGGCCAGGCGAGAACTTTACATGAGCCCTGATCCTGTCAGAAAGTGTTACAAATTGACACACCAGGTATTTCTCTTTATGCTGAATTTAGTGCATTTTAAGTCTTTAAAACTAATCTCTTAATTATTTTGATTCACCATTGTCAAACATTTTGGTGCATAAACTTTTCAAACCCTTGAAATGTCTGCTTTGTGTATCTTATAAGAATACTTATTATGGAAAAGTCTAGTTCTAGATGGCAAGCACAGATATAGAGGTTAAAAACCCACCCCTTACCCTTAAGAAGCTCACGGTCCCATTGGCAAGACAGATATGTACACAAACAGCACAGGGAGAATGTGGGGAAGCTGATCCTGCCTTGGTATGAAAAGAGAGAGCCTCAGATTTCCACAGCGGCATGTTGTACAGCCAAGTGGTTAAGAACACAAGCTCTGACATTAGATCCTTGTTTAAATCCTGACTTCTCCACTTATTATGTGTGTGATCTTGGGCAAGTTACTTAATTTCTTTGTGTCTCAGTTTACCCATCTGTAAAGTCATATAAGAATGGTGCCTTCCCCACAGAGCTGGAATGAAGATTAAGTGAATCAAACACATCAAGTCTTTAGAATAGTGACGATCACAGAGCGGTACCTAAGTCTGAGTACTTTCCGTTCTGAAAAGGGAGTTGTTTGATTCCCAATGACTTCTTTTATCACAGAATCCCCCCAGAACCTACAGGGTAAGAGAGCAGAGCAGGAGAAGGTGCTGTTCTTAATTTGGTCACACAGTTGATGTATGCTTGCTACCACCACGGTCTTGGGAGTAGTGAGATGGCTCACCTCCAAATGCCACAAAAGCCTAAGAAAGGTTTGTTTTGTGTGGTTAATATTTTCTCACTTAGTCATGTGTGCTACACCAATTGCAATAAACTTAGTGTGTTCCCAAGCTCTGAAAACAGGCTCAGCTTAGTGGGCTTAATCTGTTTCCCGAAACCTCGGCAAGGACTTTATAGTCAGAGCAGGGTTGATTTACAGTAGGGGGAGAAAATAGAAGGGAGAAATATTAAAATAAAGTGCAATCATGTTTCTATTTAAAAGTGGTTACTGCCAGCAATATTGCAAAATAATGCTGGCCAGAAACCAGAAAGCTGCACCTGCACAGATTCCAGCTGTGGAGTCCTGGAACCCTCACTGTGATTGCTCAATAACTCCTATTTAGCACCCCTGGCAAAAATTTGGCACATTGTGTATATCCACAAAAACACACATACACACTTCTACTCACACACACACCCTGGCAACGTGCTTAGCCCTTAAGTCATTAAGACAATCTGCTTAGGATGGTCAAGATGATTTTCTCCTTTTATAACTATTTTTCAAGCATATTTTTTTCTTTTACTCTCTGCATTGAAATCATACACGGGTTTATATCCAGCGATATTAAGCTCCTTCTACATCAAGTGTCGTTTGTCACACACAGGCCTTTTATCCTTCAATTTAACATCGGTACATCTGTGACTGTTAGGGAGGGAGTTGGTTCAGAGCTTCAGGGAGGACAGACTACAAGGTGGGGAAGGAATCCATGAAAGCAGAAACAGCAGGGAACGGCGGCCGCCTCGCGGGCAGCAGAACAAGGAAGAACAAAGAGGTAAGGGAAGTTCACTGAACTCCTGCTCAGCATAGGGCACCTGCCCTGACAACTCCTAAGGCCAGTGGCACCCGACCTCTAGTGTCTGCGTGGATCTGCAGGGTGCGGGAAGTAAGCCCCCACCACCCCAGGATTTGGGGGAGCTGCACAGCACTGGCTGGAGTGAGATGATGTTCTGAGAACTTCCCAAAGGCAAAAAAGAGATTTTTCAGGCAGGCTATTAAGGAGCAGGATCACATAGCTGCAGTTCTGTCTGGGTCACCCAGGCAACGAGAACTTGCTAGCCCAAGTCAAAGCTCTCAGCAGCGTACGACAGAGACAGAGTGAAGACTTGGAAACAGAATAAAACAGCAAAGAGACAAAGATGCTTACCACTGGAAGAACATGGAGACAAACACAGTAAGTGGAGCAATGAGAAGAAGGCTTTACTTAAAAAACACACACCCAAAGAAAGGGGAGTGTGGGTGTTACTCCAGGGAAAAAAATATGTTCCCACCCAGAGCAAATGATCTTTGAAGCCAAAATCAGTCAATGGGAGAAACAAAGTAGGAGAAACCAGTTTACTGCTTACAAGCAGTCATCTACTTCCAGTCACCCGTGTCTCCCACAATCCGGCTGCCAAAGGACCCCACCAGACCTCTCCAGTCCCCGTGTGCTCACTCTCCACCCCCCCTTTGTAAGCACCCATTGATATGGAGATGGACTACTTCTCTCCACCCCTTGGAAACACCTACTGATAATGGAGATGCCCTAAGGCCAGGCGAGAGAGTCGGAAAATATTGCAATTTTATTCACAGTGGGCAATCTCAGAGAGGAGGTACACTTAAAAGCTGGGATTCTGTCTTTAAAGGATTTTCAAGAATGGGATAAAGGTAAAGGGTCAGGGCAAGCAGACTTGGCAGGTGGTCTCATTATGTCAATCTCTGGTGAGAGACAATATGTCATTGTCTATAGTCGGTCCTCTAGGTAATTCTGTAGGACAAAGTTATTGTTCCTCTCCAAGAGAGTGGCCACTCCCAAGCTCTGGGAACCCATCAGTTACAGACTGCTTGCCCTGCCTTAGGGAAGTCATCGGCTGATTACCAGAGAATATGTTAGGAATCTAACCTCCCAACTGTCTGCTCTTAAAATGGAATCTTAGCCTCCGGATAAGCCCTTCCTGTTCCCACTATGCTATTCACACCTTGGCATTTTAAGGAAAATTAATCATGATGCTTGTCCCATGTCTGCGCCCCACCTCACCTGCATGAGCTAGGGCACATCTCAAGGTCAGCCCCGACTCAGAGCCTGTGGAATGGACTCACATGGCAAAGGGTGCTGACTCTGCGAGCCCTTCCTGGCCCTCTGGTTTTATCTGGCTAACTCCTTGAGTCCCATTTAGTGGGCTACGCTGGCCTTATTCTCCCTCTGCCTGCTCATATCTATTTTTCTGCCTAACATAACTCTAAAAGAAGGAGCTGGCCTACCTTTAGAAATATCCATTAAAAAGTGAAGATTTGAGATTCATTTACGTAGTTCCCTTTTCTGAGGAGCTTCTGGCGCAATATGTGGCAACAATAATAATACCGTAACATTTAGGCAACTTGCAGCAAACTGAAGGGCTCATTTTGCTGACTGGATGGGAACAACAGATGCAGTACTGGAGCAGGAAGATCGAGTATTAGACATCAGCCCCACCAGCCAACAGCTGGCTTCCCACCCAAGGAGAAGACAGTCCCTGTCCCTCAGTTGGCTCAGTGGCACAACAGGAATCAGACTCTGGCCTGCCCGGCTCAGAGGGGTGTGAGGAACACATAATGGAAACATACATGACGGGGCTTGTAAACTATCCAGCACGTCGTTTATGCCACCCCAGTCCCTTGACTGAAACAGGAACTTACTTCAAATGTTTTAACCCAAGAAAGCAACTCAGAAAAGGGGTAATGTGTGGGCCTCCATTTTTCTTCCTTATAGGAGTATATCTTGGTCACTTCTGGACTCAAGTATTTTCTCTTCCAGACAAACATTCTCATTCTCAAAATATTCTATAACATGGCTATGAAAGACTATGAGATTAAATCAAATACTAATGAAGGATTAAACTTTGACCTTAAAAATACAACTTTCATTTGGTAACTAAGACGTCACTTAAAAGCCAATGACTGGCTGGGAAAAAGATACAGGAAACATGTGAATGGTCCTCTAAGACTTCTGTGAATAAGGCCAGAGGAAAATGGGCAGAGAGCAGGGGAACTTAAAAAGGAAAAGCACAGGAAAGACCTGACAGACTAAGACTGAGTTGGGCTTCTCTGTCTTCTTCCGTAAAGCGTATTGGCAAATAAAATCAACCATTTTAAATAGTTGTGCTCATTTCTGATATCCTGAAATGGAAAAGAGCAGCCGTGTAAATGACTAGTTTTAAAGAAGTATGCTAAACATAACGATAGAAAAGCACAAATAGAGATAGATAACACAGCTCTTAGGATCAGAGGCTTCTTAAAGAGGAAACTCCTAAACCCGGCCCTCAGGGAAACAGCAGTCTCTCTCTCCAAGAAACAGCAGCCTTTTTGGTTGGAACCAACTCCTTTTCTCCAGCAAACTTTGTACAAGTGTCTTCCGTGCTTCATGGAGAACTTTGCTCTTACCCAGCATCACTGGAGAGGCCTAAGGGGCCTCCCTCTTGGTTGCCACCGAGTGGCAGAAAATTTATCTTAATGATCCACAGTAGCATGGAAGAGA